GAGAAACATATGAGCAAAGCTAATTGGTTGTCCTCTTCGGCCTCATGCTCTTTGACACTTTTCAAACCCGAGGGTTTCCCTGCCAGAAGGGACCTGTACCGAGCCCAAAGACCATCTTCTATACCAGGACTTTTTCTACAGGACATTGGCCAAGCGCCCAAAAAAGCACGGACCTCCTGTAGAATTTCTGTAGCTGGCGGAATGAATTCCAGCAGCAATTCAGAGCGCAGGTATGTCTTGGCGACCCCCGGAGTCCCCGTATTCACATGGCGCAAAGGGGAACCAATTCGAAAAGTACCTAGAGTCTCCATAACCCCTGGAAAAAGGGGTCATAACTCCTCTGAATTTTGGGTAATGACCTCATTTTTAGAGGGGCATGGCGACTGCGCTGTTGTTGCACCGCGAAACTCCCTGCGTACGACAAAAAAAAAAACGCGCCTCGAGGCGAGCGACAAAAATGGGGGGAGAAGCCGCGGGGGCCCTGCAGTGAGAGTGGATTCGCTTGCGCCCCCGGTTTACGGCACTTTGTAGGAAAACCAACTCCCAAAACACAAGCAAACAGGGGCACAAAAGAGATGCGCCTGTTTGTAGATGTCGCTCCTCCTTTACAGCCCTTGGTATGGTGGCCCAAAAGCATGCCAACATTGCAGGGTGTCACCTCCAAAAGCATTCGCACAAATGGGAGTAACAACCTGGAGATCGGCAGGGATTTGAATGAAGGGGGTGGTCACACATGGTTTTTGGAGACAAGTCGGTGCCCTCGTTTGAGGCCGAAGGTACCACATCCTCGCGATAGACCCTGGCTTGCGGCCAGCAAAGGGGGGCGGAGGCGCCGAAGGACGTGAAAAATATACAACCTCCAGTTGCTGATAGACGTCCCCTTGGAACACATAAACACTGGCAGTCATAGGTTCCCTTTAAAACCAGGGGTAAATACGTAACACGTTCATTTCAGCCAATGGAGCACAAGGCTTGCAGTCTCTTTCCAGCAAAAATGGACAAGGCCGTTTCGAAAGGACTCCAAACTCCTGTCAGCTTCCATGTTGGAAAGAGGATCCTCAGTTGCTCCTTAAATTTTAGTCTTTTGGGTTGCCAGTACGGATAGTGTTGACCAAAAAGGGGCAACCAAAGCGTCACAGATCCGGTCGATTCGCTTTGGGCCTTGATGATACTGTGGATGGACGAAATCCATTTCGCACCACCTATGAAAGCCTCGAATGATTCGATTCCTCTGTAAATACCAGCAAACAATGCTTTGCCCTGGTTTCAATTTGGTGCGAAATGGATCTCGCAACCCACAGTATAAGCTTTTGAGACCCGAAAGCAGACAACTCCGCCTCAGCTCAGCTGAGTTCCGCCAGGTTCCTGCCGAAACGAAAAGGAATGCGGCATGTGTGGACCGAACATGTCGGCATTTCCAGGTGCTTCCATTTGTCTGAGGTCCCTGGAAACAAAACATTTCGAGTGCTGGAGTCCCTTTAAAACCAACAGGGGAATATAGAACATAGTCTTAAGCAATACAGAACTTCGTCTTGAGCAAATGGAAGGGTATGGTTTTAGGACGTATGGATGCTATACCAACATAAGCTTGTGAGGTAGTATATGTACTCCAAACATATAAGTGGTATCTAACCTTACCAGCAAAAGCCATGGCCTTGAGAAACAGATGTCTCCTTTGCAAATCATAGAAGTAGATAGGGGGCTTCTACAAAACTTCCATTTGCTTTTTCGACCCCTGGAAAAAAACAAATATTTCCAGTAGTGAGAGATTCCCTTTAAAACCAACAGGGGAAAACAAATATTCTTAACCAAAGGGCAAAAAAGGAATATGGTCTTCCCACCTCCTCCTGTCAGCTATGCTGGGAGGGAATCTTGGTGACCGGGGTTCCTTCGTGTTAGTTTGGATGGCCGCGAAATCCATTTTGCACCACTTTGAAACCATGGGAAACCACCGTTTGTTGGTATTTACAGGGCAATCATTAGAAACCAGGCTTTCTTAGGTGGTGCAGAACTTCCTTCGTCCATCCACAGTAGCCATGGTTGCCGTACTCAAGTAGGCTGCACATCCAAACAGGTCAAGTCCCGTCAACCCACGTGAAGCTCAAACGCCGAAATCTTGCCATGGTTCAAATGACCCGTTGCAGGAGGCATGGTCCCTTTGTGGTACTCATGGCCAAACACGAATTGATGCAACCTGGGCAAATCACCGACCAACTCGTGCAGGTTTTGTCCGTCCCAAAAAGGTTGATTCCCAAATCTTATGAGTCTTCGCTTCTGGTGGACTCGAATCTCGCAAAGAAGTGGCAAGTCAAAGCTCAACTTGCCACAACCACGTCCAAGCAATACACTATCTAAGCTTCACATCAAGATGTGTGTGGTCCAAAACCATCGCGTGGGATTGGCAACGGAACCATTCCTAGGGGGGTTGGGGTCAAACAAAATCGGCGAAGCAACTGCTCGGTGTCCTGAGCTCATCCAAGATGGCTCGGCTCAGTCTGGCCAAACCCAGCATAAATCCGTGCTCCTCAGCACACAGTCTGAGCCCAAAGGACAAGTTGTCATTACTGGGCTGCCCTCAGATCCCCCGCTAAAAGTCTAAGTTTTAGTGGGTTAAATGGAAACTACCACTCAACACAAAAAGGTTAAAAAGCAAAGGGGATGGCTGGGAGCCACCAAGATCATGTTTGCTTAGCTTCTTTCATGTTCCATGTTTGTTGGGAGGGTTGACATGACCATCGGGGCCCATTGGATGATACCGACTTGTTAGGCTACATGAATATGTCCATCGAACCCCTGGCATGAACCTCTAGTTGTTTTTTTCTGCGTGAACTGACCGTCAAGTATCATTCTGGGAAGCCAGCCTCCGACAGGTTCACAAACTATAGGTCCATTTTCGCGTGTCTGTTTTGGCCAAACTAAGGGGACCCTATGGGTTGAACTGTACACCCAAAACAGCCTGTTAAAAACAGAGTGATTCCCCAAAATGGCAACCACCCATGCTGTGGCTGGATCAAATCCTGCACAACTTGTGATGATAAAACCCCTGAACCAAACTACTGGGATAAGAAATCAATCCCAACTGGTGCGAAGAAGACTTTATCCATCAGTATGGACATCAAAAAGCCGGTGACTGGAGACTTGGGGGCTGGCCATTGGTCGACGGATCAGGAAGTGGCAATGCTCCTGAGAGCGAACCCGATTCCAGAACCTCGCTCCGGCGTGTTCGATCTTGCAAATGGGCGCTGTCTGGGCTCCATGCTCTTTTTTTGTCGATCATCCAGGAACTTGTCCGCATCCCTTTTCAGCGAAGTAAGACCATATTTTTGGAAAATCACCCTGTCTGCGACACTGTGGACCATCCTTGAGACTTCTTCACAGATTCCCTTGGTATCTCAGGCTCTGTGGGCGTAAAACCCCATTTTTTGCACCATGAGAC